GTGCAGCCTTCTCCAGGAGACGCACCTTGATCCCCCCCAAAAGCGCACCTTGATGTCCTCAGGAGACTACCCACCCAGGAGAGGCCACGATTGGATTGGAGAAGGCAGGGCAGTGCAGCCTTCTCCAGGAGACGCACCTTGATCCCCCCCAAAAGCGCACCTTGATGTCCTCAGGAGACTACCCACCCAGGGAGAGGCCACGATTGGATTGGAGAAGGCAGGGCAGTGCAGCCTTCTCCAGGAGACGCACCTTGATCCCCCCCAAAAGCGCACCTTGATGTCCTCAGGAGACTACCCACCCAGGGAGAGGCCACGATTGGATTGGAGAAGGCAGGGCAGTGCAGCCCCCTCCAGGAGACGCACCTTGATCCCCCCCAAAAGCGCACCTTGATGTCCTCAGGAGACTACCCACCCAGGGAGAGGCCACGATTGGATTGGAGAAGGCAGGGCAGTGCAGCCCCCTCCAGGAGACGCACCTTGATCCCCCCCAAAAGCGCACCTTGATGTCCTCAGGAGACTACCCACCCAGGGAGAGGCCACAATTGGATTGGAGAAGGCAGGGCAGTGCAGCCTTCTCCAGGAGACGCACCTTGATCCCCCCCAAAAGCGCACCTTGATGTCCTCAGGAGACCACCCACCCAGGGAGAGGCCACAATTGGATTGGAGAAGGCAGGGCAGTGCAGCCTTCTCCAGGAGACGCACCTTGATCCCCCCCAAAAGCGCACCTTGATGTCCTCAGGAGACCACCCACCCAGGGAGAGGCCACGAGTGGATTGGAGAAGGCAGGGCAGTGCAGCCTTCTCCAGGAGACGCACCTTGATCCCCCCCAAAAGCGCACCTTGATGTCCTCAGGAGACTACCCACCCAGGGAGAGGCCACAATTGGATTGGAGAAGGCAGGGCAGTGCAGCCTTCTCCAGGAGACGCACCTTGATCCCCCCCAAAAGCGCACCTTGATGTCCTCAGGAGACTACCCACCCAGGGAGAGGCCACAATTGGATTGGAGAAGGCAGGGCAGTGCAGCCCCCTCCAGGAGACGCACCTTGATCCCCCCCAAAAGCGCACCTTGATGTCCTCAGGAGACTACCCACCCAGGGAGAGGCCACAATTGGATTGGAGAAGGCAGGGCAGTGCAGCCTTCTCCAGGAGACGCACCTTGATCCCCCCCAAAAGCGCACCTTGATGTCCTCAGGAGACTACCCACCCAGGGAGAGGCCACAATTGGATTGGAGAAGGCAGGGCAGTGCAGCCTTCTCCAGGAGACGCACCTTGATCCCCCCCAAAAGCGCACCTTGATGTCCTCAGGAGACTACCCACCCAGGGAGAGGCCACGATTGGATTGGAGAAGGCAGGGCAGTGCAGCCTTCTCCAGGAGACGCACCTTGATCCCCCCCAAAAGCGCACCTTGATGTCCTCAGGAGACTACCCACCCAGGGAGAGGCCACAATTGGATTGGAGAAGGCAGGGCAGTGCAGCCTTCTCCAGGAGACGCACCTTGATCCCCCCCAAAAGCGCACCTTGATGTCCTCAGGAGACTACCCACCCAGGGAGAGGCCACAATTGGATTGGAGAAGGCAGGGCAGTGCAGCCCCCTCCAGGAGACGCACCTTTATCCCCCCCAAAAGCGCACCTTGATGTCCTCAGGAGACTACCCACCCAGGGAGAGGCCACAATTGGATTGGAGAAGGCAGGGCAGTGCAGCCTTCTCCAGGAGACGCACCTTGATCCCCCCCAAAAGCGCACCTTGATGTCCTCAGGAGACTACCCACCCAGGGAGAGGCCACAATTGGATTGGAGAAGGCAGGGCAGTGCAGCCTTCTCCAGGAGACGCACCTTGATCCCCCCCAAAAGCGCACCTTGATGTCCTCAGGAGACTACCCACCCAGGGAGAGGCCACAATTGGATTGGAGAAGGCAGGGCAGTGCAGCCCCCTCCAGGAGACGCACCTTGATCCCCCCCAAAAGCGCACCTTGATGTCCTCAGGAGACTACCCACCCAGGAGAGGCCACAATTGGATTGGAGAAGGCAGGGCAGTGCAGCCTTCTCCAGGAGACGCACCTTGATCCCCCCCAAAAGCGCACCTTGATGTCCTCAGGAGACTACCCACCCAGGAGAGGCCACGATTGGATTGGAGAAGGCAGGGCAGTGCAGCCTTCTCCAGGAGACGCACCTTGATCCCCCCCAAAAGCGCACCTTGATGTCCTCAGGAGACTACCCACCCAGGGAGAGGCCACGATTGGATTGGAGAAGGCAGGGCAGTGCAGCCTTCTCCAGGAGACGCACCTTGATCCCCCCCAAAAGCGCACCTTGATGTCCTCAGGAGACTACCCACCCAGGGAGAGGCCACGATTGGATTGGAGAAGGCAGGGCAGTGCAGCCCCCTCCAGGAGACGCACCTTGATCCCCCCCAAAAGCGCACCTTGATGTCCTCAGGAGACTACCCACCCAGGGAGAGGCCACGATTGGATTGGAGAAGGCAGGGCAGTGCAGCCCCCTCCAGGAGACGCACCTTGATCCCCCCCAAAAGCGCACCTTGATGTCCTCAGGAGACTACCCACCCAGGGAGAGGCCACAATTGGATTGGAGAAGGCAGGGCAGTGCAGCCTTCTCCAGGAGACGCACCTTGATCCCCCCCAAAAGCGCACCTTGATGTCCTCAGGAGACTACCCACCCAGGGAGAGGCCACGATTGGATTGGAGAAGGCAGGGCAGTGCAGCCTTCTCCAGGAGACGCACCTTGATCCCCCCCAAAAGCGCACCTTGATGTCCTCAGGAGACTACCCACCCAGGGAGAGGCCACAATTGGATTGGAGAAGGCAGGGCAGTGCAGCCCCCTCCAGGAGACGCACCTTGATCCCCCCCAAAAGCGCACCTTGATGTCCTCAGGAGACTACCCACCCAAGGAGAGGCCACAATTGGATTGGAGAAGGCAGGGCAGTGCAGCCCCCTCCAGGAGACGCACCTTGATCCCCCCCAAAAGCGCACCTTGATGTCCTCAGGAGACTACCCACCCAGGGAGAGGCCACGATTGGATTGGAGAAGGCAGGGCAGTGCAGCCTTCTCCAGGAGACGCACCTTGATCCCCCCCAAAAGCGCACCTTGATGTCCTCAGGAGACTACCCACCCAGGGAGAGGCCACAATTGGATTGGAGAAGGCAGGGCAGTGCAGCCCCCTCCAGGAGACGCACCTTGATCCCCCCCAAAAGCGCACCTTGATGTCCTCAGGAGACTACCCACCCAGGGAGAGGCCACAATTGGATTGGAGAAGGCAGGGCAGTGCAGCCTTCTCCAGGAGACGCACCTTGATCCCCCCCAAAAGCGCACCTTGATGTCCTCAGGAGACTACCCACCCAGGGAGAGGCCACAATTGGATTGGAGAAGGCAGGGCAGTGCAGCCTTCTCCAGGAGACGCACCTTGATCCCCCCCAAAAGCGCACCTTGATGTCCTCAGGAGACTACCCACCCAGGGAGAGGCCACAATTGGATTGGAGAAGGCAGGGCAGTGCAGCCTTCTCCAGGAGACGCACCTTGATCCCCCCCAAAAGCGCACCTTGATGTCCTCAGGAGACTACCCACCCAGGGAGAGGCCACAACTGGATTGGAGAAGGCAGGGCAGTGCAGCCACCTCCAGGAGACGCACCTTGATCCCCCCCAAAAGCGCACCTTGATGTCCTCAGGAGACTACCCACCCAGGGAGAGGCCACAACTGGATTGGAGAAGGCAGGGCAGTGCAGCCTTCTCCAGGAGACGCACCTTGATCCCCCCCAAAAGCGCACCTTGATGTCCTCAGGAGACTACCCACCCAGGGAGAGGCCACGATTGGATTGGAGAAGGCAGGGCAGTGCAGCCTTCTCCAGGAGACGCACCTTGATCCCCCCCAAAAGCGCACCTTGATGTCCTCAGGAGACTACCCACCCAGGGAGAGGCCACAACTGGATTGGAGAAGGCAGGGCAGTGCAGCCACCTCCAGGAGACGCACCTTGATCCCCCCCAAAAGCGCACCTTGATGTCCTCAGGAGACTACCCACCCAGGGAGAGGCCACAATTGGATTGGAGAAGGCAGGGCAGTGCAGCCCCCTCCAGGAGACGCACCTTGATCCCCCCCAAAAGCGCACCTTGATGTCCTCAGGAGACTACCCACCCAGGGAGAGGCCACAATTGGATTGGAGAAGGCAGGGCAGTGCAGCCCCCTCCAGGAGGTCGCCAAGCTGATACAAACCGAGGTTGATGTAGTCCATTTTTTTCTTTAGGTTGACTTAGAGAATTCTCAAAGTCAACCTAAAAAAAAAATGCACCTTGGTTTCCCCCCAAAACTCGCACCTCTTGATCCCCCCCCCCAAAAACGCACCAACCCACCTTGAGGCCATGCAGCACAGCGATGCGAAGCCCGTCCATAGAGGATTTCACCTTGGTTGGAGCGTAGCAGAGCAAATCGGAGCACACACGTCCCAATTACGTTCTGACGCCCCTGCCTAATCCTCCGCACTGCGAGCAACCAGCACACCTTGAGGCCACGCAGCATAGCGATGCGCAACTCGTCCATGGAAGCTTCCACCTTGGTGCGGGGAAGAGCAAGCCACACCACACCAGCAGCACATGGCCAGCCAGTTGCCTCATGCCAGCGTACTAGTCTAGCCAGCCAGCCTACTAGTCTAGCCAGCCAGCCAGCCTACTAGTCTAGCCAGCCAGCCTACTAGTCTAGCCAGCCAGCCTACTAGTCTAGCCAGCCAGCCAGCCTACTAGTCTAGCCAGCCAGCCTACTAGTCTAGCCAGCCAGCCTACTAGTCTAGCCAGCCAGCCTACTAGTCTAGCCAGCCAGCCTACTAGTCTAGCCAGCCACCAGGCAGCACCAGGCTACACACCTTGAGGCCACGCAGCATAGCGATGCGCAGCTCGTCCATGGAAGCCTCCACCTTGGTTGGAGCGCGGGCAGAGGGGCAGGACCCACCCAACACACATGGATCACGGACACTCCTGTCTAATCCTCAAAACCTGCTAATCATCACACCTTGAGGCCACGCAGCATAGCGATGCGCAGCTCGTCCATGGAAGCTTCCACCTTGGTGCGCGGCGGAGCAAGTAGTGCCGCCCGCTGTGCTGCCTGCAGGTGTGGCAGAGGAGAGGAGGCAACGGGATGAGAGAATATGGAGTTGGGGGAAGAAGGCTCGAGGAGGTGCGGCACAGTGAAGCGCAGCTCGTCCATGGAAGCTTCCACCTTGGTGCGCGGCGGAGCAAGTAGTGCCGCCCGCTGTGCCGCCTGCGGGTGTGGCAGAGGAGAGGAGGCACGATCAAGAAATGGAGTAGGGTTAAAAAAGAGGAGGAGGAGGAGGAGGAGGAGGAGGAGGAGGAGGAGGAGGAGGAGGAGGAGGAGGAGGAGGAGGAGGAGGAGGAGGAGGAGGAGGAGGAGGAGGAGGAGGAGGAAGGAGGAGGAGGAGGAGGAGAGGGAGGAGGGATGAAAGCGGAGGCAGTGAGAGGAAAAGGGTCAGGGAAAGGAAGGGACAGAGCAAGCAGCGCTGCCCGCTGTACCGCTTGCGGGTGAGGCAGGAAGGGGAAAATATCAGAGGCATTTGAATTCCAACTTCCTCTTCTTTCTCCTCCTACCTCCATTGAGGTGATTTTCGAGGCGCCTAAAAAATCACCTCAATCCAGCTTCCTCCTCTCTCTCCTCCTACCTCCATCTCTTCATTCACCTTTCTCGCCCTCCGTTCACCTTCCTCTCACAGCGTCAATCCCGTGCTGCCACTCACCCTCGTCGCCTCTTTCCCTCTACCGTAAAGAAAGCCTGATTTCAGAGTACGTATCGATCTGTAGTAATAATTTTACTACTCTGAAAAACGAGGGAAGTCGTAAGCAAAGGTCTTTTAATCAGAGAGCCAGACACATAGGCCCGAATTTGTTTGGAGTCGACTTTTAACAAAGAGCCAGACACATAGGACCCGTTTTTTTTTTTTTTTTTTTTTTTTTTTTTTTTTTTTTTTTTTTTTTTTTTTTTTTTTTTTTTTTTTTTCGACTCTAAAAAAAGAGCCAGACACATAGGCCCGGATGCGCGTGCCAACGAGTTACGGCCAGCAAATGCTCTCATCAGCATCAACCCCTTTCTACCACTTACTCTCGTCGCCTCTTTCCGTCCACCGCTCACCTCCTTCATCTTCTTCAGTCGCATCCGAGCCACCTTCACCTGCAGGCACCGCCTCTTGGGGCCCAAGCCTCCCTCACTAACAATCTCCCATCGTTCCTTCAGTCACTAACTAGCTATCTCCCATATCATTCCTCAATAAACGCACCTCCTTCATCTTCTTCAGTCGCATCCGAGCCACCTTCACCTGCAGGCACCGCCTCATGGCGCCCCACGGCTTGCGCACCCTGTGACCCCGCCAGTAGCGCTGCAGATGGGTGATGAAGAAGGGGTGGGGTGAGAGGGAAGGTGCGGGGACGTGGAGTGGAGGGAGAAGGGATGAGGTAAACACTTCACCTTCACCTGCAGACAGGCACCGCCTCATGGCATCCCATGGCTTGCGCACCCTGTGACCCCGCCAGTAGCGCTGCCACGATTCAGGGGATGGGGGATGGGAGTGGTGTGTGTGTGGTGGTGGTGGGAAGCGGGGGGATGGCAGGGAAATGGGATAAGTAGTTAAATGTTCACCTTCACTTGCAGGCCCCGCCTCATGGCACCCCATGGCTTGCGCACCCTGTACCCCCCCCCCCCACCCCCTCTTCCAACAGTGGCCAGCGTTTTTTTTCTTAAGAAAAATGTACCGCTTCCTTGCTTGCTGCATGCGCACATTCTGCTGAATCACACCCACTCACCCTCTACTTGAAGCGTCAACCATGCCATGCTGAATCCACTCCCATCCACGCATCTGGATGACAACGGTCGCGAGAGTCCGCCTCAGAAGGATGTACCGCTTCCTTGTTTGCTGCATGCGCACGTTCTTCTGAATCACTATCGCTACTGCAAGCCCCTACTCACACCAGGCCCGAAAACACTGGCAAAGCCGCACCGCTTTCAACCGTTCCACACACCTGAATGACAATGGTAGCCAGCGTCCTCCTGAGCAGGATGTACTGCTTCCTTGCTTGCTGCATGCGCACGTTCTTCTGAATCACAATTGCTGCAAACTTGAGCTCCCAGAAGCGTTTCTCCACCAGGAATCGCCGCACGTGGTTCTGAATGACCAGGGCAGCTGCGTCCTCCCTCAGTTCCCGCAATAGCTTCCTGGCTCGGTAGGCTGCGAGTGGGAGATGGCATGGGTAGAGAGGAACAAGGGGGGGAGAGGGAAGGGCATGGGGTGAAGGAAGGAGCATGCAGTACAGTTGGGCGTGAGAGAGTGAGTGACAGCCGCAGCAGCAGGCTGCTAAGTTCACTTGAGCTCCCAGAAGCGCTTCTCCATCAGAAAGCGCCGCACGTGCTTCTGAATCACAATGGCTGCCGCGTGGCATATGAGATGCCACTTGGCAATTGCGAGTGGGTGAAACTGATCTTGCCACTTGTACACATTCGTGACTCAACTGCGATGTATAAAGAACCTATCATGTCTTCTTAAGAGCATACCTACTTCAACCATTTATTCAGGTGTTACCTACTTAGGTTCACTTTTAATCTTAGCATCATATGAACTAGACACCCTAAAACAGCCACAACAATATGGGCTACGTTGTCCAGCATCCACTTCAAATAGCTGAGAGTCAGCTAGCCGTTCAACTTGATACAATGGTTGAAGCTGCTGCTGCTTGATACCAAGGTTGAAGCTAAGCTGGTGTGACATCAGGTGACAAGCAGCAGCAGCTTCAACCATGGTATCAAGAAAAACGGCTAGCTGGCTCTCAGCCATTTGAAGTGGATGCTGGACAACATAGTCTATATTGTTGTGGCTGTTTTAGGGTGTCTAGTTCAGATGATGCTAGAATTAGGAGTGAGCCTAAGTAAATAGAATCTGAATAAATGGTTAAAGTAGGTAGGGTCTAAAGAAAGCATGATAGGTTATTTAAGAGGTGGTCTTACCATACATTGTTGTTGAGTCAAAAATGAGTACAAGTGGCAAGATCAGTTCCACCCACTTTCAGTTGCCAGAGGCATCTCTTATGCCACTTCTGGAGGAACACAGCTGCTGCATCGTGCACCTCAGCAGAACACGCCTCAACTCCTGCACCAGCTTGCATTGCATGTGCTGCTGCTTCCAGCGCAAGAAGCTTCGAAGCCGAATTGGTCAAGAAAAACTCTTGAACAGAAGGAACAAGCATGCCTGACAATGAACTGCCCTGCGATGCATTTTACCACTCCGCATTGCACTGCACTGCAACTCACCACACCTCTCCAGCATTTGTGGATGTGAGTGGCCGCTCACATGCACTCTCGCTTCCAAAGAAAGAACATTTCGAGCAACAAGCAGTCACAAGAACAGACAAGACACCACGCCACACCACACTGCACCGCACCGCACCTCTCCAGTGCTTCTGGATGACAACGGCAGCCCGCTTGCACTCCTGCTTCCAGAGGAAGCGGCGTACGGCCCTCTGAATCTTGGTGGCAGCGAAGTTCATGCCACACAGTTGAGATTTTTGAGGCATCTAAAAAAAACAGAGACAGGAGTTCGTCACACCACACCACACTGCAGTGCACCACACCGCACCGTGCTACAACGCACCAAACCACACCACACCTCAACTCACCTCTCCAGTGCTTCTGAATGACAATGGCGGCCCGCTTGCGCTCCTGCTTCCAGAGGAAGAGGCGCACAGCCCTCTGAATCTTGGTGGCAGCGAGGTTCATACGGTCAAGACGGAGTGACTCAAGCGTCACCAGCTGCACCCCCTTCATAAACACCTTGGTGCGGCCGATCTGGGGGGAGGGGGTTGGGGCATGGACGAGGGAGGGAACAAGGGAGAGACTGAGCAGGGAGTAGGGGAGTGAGAGGCGGAGCAACTCGAGCGTCACCAGCTGCACACCCTTCATAAACACCTTGGTGCGGCCGATTTGAGGAAATATGGGTTGGGAGAAAATGGGGGAACAAGGAGGGGGATCAGAAGGAAAGGTGGAGAGACAATGTGATGCGATTTTTACCTGTGGACTATGTATCATCTCTGCATCGCTAGATTACACAACATGTGAGACGGACGGGGCTTATCAGCTGATGTTGATGTCATCTGATGTCTCACCAGCTCACCTGGCAATGTTGAATCCACCTGACGCACCCTGGGGATTCACCTGATAATCCTGCAGCTCTGCCTGCGCCATGACTGCACGAATCATCTCCTGGTGCTGCCCGGCTAGCCTGTCAGTTGAATGGTGAGATGGAGGGATGATGGAAACTTGGAAAGGTTGAAGGGGGGAAGGTGGGATGGTGGAACGGCAGAGATTGTGGGATGATTGGATGGTGGGAAGGGATATAAGTACAGCAAGCAGGCATGAAGAAATAGTCCCCCAATACTGGACACCTCATTTGGCTATGAAGTTTCCATTAGTCACTCAAAAATAAGTGACTAATAGCAAGAAAGTACTTTTCCTCCCTTTTGCCAATTCCCTCTTTCCTGCCACCTACCCCTTTCTTCTCCCTCCATCCATCACACCCCTTCCTCCCTGCCGCCCACCTTGTTCTGTCTTGGCTCGGCAGCAGGGGGCTGGACCGTGCCTCAAATTCTGCTTTGAGAAGTCTCAATCACAGCAATCACCTTTTAAGACACCTAAGTAATCACCTCTTTCTGTCTTGGCTCGGCAGCAGGGGGCTGGACCGTGCCTCAAATTCTGCTTTGAGAAGTCTCAATCACAGCAATCACCTTTTAAGACACCTAAGTAATCACCTCTTTCTGTCTTGGCTCGGCAGCAGGGGGCTGGACCGTGCCTCAAATTCTGCTTTGAGAAGTCTCAATCACAGCAATCACCTTTTAAGACACCTAAGTAATCACCTCTTTCTGTCTTGGCTCGGCAGCAGGGGGCTGAACCGTGCCTCAAAGTCTTCAAACGTGCGCCGAGCTGGGTAGCCCGTGGAGCACAGGCGCACTGCCTCTAGCACTCCCTGGGAGGAAAGAAAGCAGGGGAAGAGGAGCAGGCGGACAGAGATAGGGGAGGCCGGTGGGCGTTGAACAGAGTGGATCCTCCAGACCCCAGCTTTCAAAACGTGCGCCGAGCCGGGTAGCCCGTGGAGTGGAGCGTAGACGCACTGCCTCTAGCACTCCCATGGAGGAGGGGTGGTGAGGGGGGAGGAGAGGAGAAAAGGAAGGTAGGGAGACAGACAAGGAAAGTGAGTGGGTGCTTGTGGGCAGCCTGTGGAGCATAGCCGCACTGCCTCTAGCACCCCCTGGGAGGAGGGGTGGTGAGGGGGGAGGAGAGGAGAAAAGGAAGGTAGGGAGACAGACAAGGAAAGTGAGTGGGTGCTTGTGGGCAGCCTGTGGAGCATAGCCGCACTGCCTCTAGCACTCCCTGGGAGGAGGGGTGGTGAGGAGGGAGGAGAGGAGAAAAGAAAGGTAGGGAGACAGACAAGGAAAGTGAGTGGGTGCTTGTGGGCAGCCCGTGGAGTGGAACACAGGCGCACTGCCTCTAGCACTCCCTGGGAGGAGGGAGGAGGAGACGAAGGCACAGGGGCGGAGGGAGACAGGGGGGACAAGGAAAGGCGAGTAGCGATAAGGGGATAGCCCGTGGAGCACAGCCGCACTGCCTCTAGCACACGCTTGGAGGGAAGGGGAGGAGGAGAGGAGCATCCGAGCAGGTGCCACAGAACAGACTGAAGTTACAGATTGAAGTCCTTTTTGCTTCTTGAAATGGTTCACGCTTCAAGCAGGACTCGTCTATCAAGTATCCTACACATGTTGCCCCACTCACCCCTGATCGCAGCTGCTCCACAACAAGGGTGTTGGAGAAATTTTGTGGCTTGAGGTCCTTGTTGGGCTTCACACACCGCATGCACGCACGTAATGCGGCTTTTTGCCGGTTGACTCATACATTACGTACACACAGGTGTTGACCCACTCACCCCGGATCGCAATTGCTCCACCACAAGGGTGTTGGAGAACTTCTGTGATTTGAGGTCCTTGTTGGGCTTCACACATTGAAGGTGGTTAGCCTACAGCTACACTAGCCCTGAATCCCCTGATGACTCGTGTCTATCAAGTATCTACCTTCACGTGTTGCCTCCACTCACCCAGACCGCAGCTGCTCGACAACAAGGGTGTTGGAGAATTTCTGAGGCTTGAGGACCTTGTTGGGCTTCACACATTAAAGGTGGTTAGCCTACAGCTACACTAGCAAAGCACTTATGGTTTGAACATCTATCAACAAGTGGCCGGCAGTGGCGACCCACTCTCCCCTTACCCAATGGGCCCTGCCTCCACTCACCCCGGACCGCAGCTGGTCGACAACGAGGGTGTTGGAGAACTTGTGCGGCTACAGCTACACTAGCAAAGCACTTATGGTTTGAACATCTATCAACAAGTGGCCGGCAGTGGCGACCCACTCTCCCCTTACCCAATGGGCCCTGCCTCCACTCACCCCGGACCGCAGCTGGTCGACAACGAGGGTGTTGGAGAACTTGTGCGGCTACAGCTACACTAGCAAAGCACTTATGGTTTGAACATCTATCAACAAGTGACTGGCAGTGGCGACCCACTCTCCCCTTACCCAATGGGCCCTGCCTCCACTCACCCCGGACCGCAGCTGCTCGACAACGAGGGTGTTGGAGAACTTGTGCGGCTACAGCTACACTAGCAAAGCACTTATGGTTTGAACATCTATCAACAAGTGGCCGGCAGTGGCGACCCACTCTCCCCTTACCCAATGGGCCCTGCCTCCACTCACCCCGGACCGCAGCTGCTCGACAACGAGGTTGTTGGAGAACTTCTGAGGCTTGAGGTCCTTGTTGGGCTTCACACACCGCACGTAGTGGGGCTCTGTTGCGTTCAGCGTGCGCATCAGCTCGCCCAGTTGCTCCTGAAAGAAGAGAGGGTAGGTTTGTGGGGGAAGGGGCTGTATTTTTGGGGAGGCTTGAGGTCCTTGTTGGGCTTCACGCACACCACACATAGTGCGGCTAGGTTGCACTGAGCGTACGCATCAACTCGCCCAGTTGCTCCTGTGGGAGGGCAGGGGGTGGTGGTGTTGAGGAGGGATGGCTGGGATGGCTTGAGGTCCTTGTTGGGCTTCACACACCGCACCGCACGTAGTGCGGTTCTGTTGCATTGAGCATTCGCATCAGCTCGCCCAGTTGCTCCTGAGGGTGGGAAGTGGAGGAAAGAAGAGGTTTAGTGCTGCATGTGTTGTTTGGGGAGGCTTGAGGTCCTTGTTGGGCTTCACACACCGCACCGCACGTAGTGTGGCTCTGTTGCATTCAGCGTGTGCATCAACTCGCCCAGTTGTTCCTGTGAGGAGGGAGGGAGGGGGAGAAGAGGAGAGAGAAGGGTAGCAGGGATAGCTTGAGGTCTTTGTTGGGCTTCACACACCGCACGAAAACCTTCGCACAAAGAGCCTTCGCACAAAGAGCCTTCGCACAAAGGCAGAGGGGGAGCAAAACCAGCAGCTCCTCATGCTCCGCTCCCTCTCTCCCCACCCACCCCCATCTCATGCTCCGCACCCTCTCTCCCCACCCCCATCCCGTCCACCATACGCAACCCCATCATTCATTCATCCCCAGCCCCTTTCTCACCTTGAACCTCTTCCCCAGGGACACGGCTTTCACCGCCTTGGCGGTCGCAGGTGGGGGGAAGAGCGTTCGCACAAAGGCAGAGTGGGAGCGCGCCAGCAGCTCCTCGTGCTCCGGCACCAGCGCGTCAAGGTTCTTCACCAGAAACTCCTCTGCCTGATACTTCACCTGTGAGGGGGATGTAGGGGAGAAAGAAGGGTGAAAGAGCAGCAGTAAGCGTGTGCAAGGCTGCAGAGCGGCACCAGCGCATCAAGGTTCTTCACCAGAAACTCCTCTGCCTGATACTTCACCTGCAGGGGACGGAAATAAGGGGAGACAGAAGGGGAGTAAGAGCGCTTGAAGGGGAATAAAAGCAATGCATGCAAGGATTCAGAGTAGGCCAGGCAAGCAGCTTCTCATGCTCCGGCACCAGTGCGTCAAGGTTTTTCACCAGAAACTCCTCTGCCTGGTAGTTCACCTGGGGAGAGAAAAGGTGGGGAGGAGAGGGAGAGGGATCAGCAGACAAGACATAAGAGGCGCGCCAGCAGCTCCTCGTGCTCCGGCACCAGCGCGTCCAAGTTCTTCACCAGAAACTCCTCTGCCTGGTACTTCACCTGTGAGGGGGATGTGGGGGAGAAAGAAGTGCGAAAGAGCAGCAGTCAGCGTGTGCAAGGCTGCAGAGTGGAAGCGAGCTAGCAGCTCCTCATGCTCCGCACAAGCGCGTCGAGGTTCTTCACCAGAAACTCCTCCGCCTGGTACTTCACCTGCAACGGGATGAAGAGGGAGGGGAAGGGCGGGGAGAGGGAGAGAAGGGGGAGGGAATAATCACACACCTCCACCTTGCCAGCGTTGCTTCACACTGAAGTCAGCTCGCTCACAACATCTTGGACTTGGAGAAGCGCTTGTGCTTGCGACATCTCAAATCCCTTCTCTGACCCATCCTTTCCTCTTACAGCACTCCCTTCAATATCCCCCCAATCTAAGCACCCAACCACGCCGCACCCCCCTTCCAACCCCACCTTGCCAGCATAGTGCTTCACACTGAAGTCAGCTCGCTCACAACATCTTGGACTTGGAGAAGCGCTTGTGCTTGCGACATCTCAAATCCCTTCTCTGACCCATCCTTTCCTCTTACAGCACTCCCTTCAATTTCCCCCCAATCTAAGCACCCAACCACGCCGCACCCCCCTCCCAACCCCACCTTGCCAGCATAGTGCTTCACACTGAAGTCAGCTCGCAACATCATGGAGTTGAAGAAGCGCTTGTGCTTGAAAAGTTAAGCAAATTTTTGTAGGCCTTCCCTTTCCCTCCCACAGCATCCCCTTCCTTTCAGCCCTGTTCAGAGCGCCCCAACCAGCCCCACCCCACCTTGCCAGCGTAGTGCTTCACACTGAAGTCAGCTCGTGACATTTTGGACTTGGAGAAGCACTTGTGCTTGCGACATCTCCTAGACGCCCCCCGTTTCCCTCCCTCCCTCCCTCAACACCTCACCTTGCCGGCATAGTGCTTGACACTGAAGTCAGCTCGCGACATTTTGGACTTGGAGAAGCGCTTGTGCTTGCCCAGCGTGCTGTAGAGCGTCTGACAGAAGGACTCAGGTGTGGAGCTATCCATCTTGCTGGTGGGGGTGGCAGGGGAACATGCGGCAAGAGAGAAGAGGAGCAGGGGTGTTTCAGGGTGGCAGGGTGGTGCAGAGAGCCACTTGTGCTTGCCCAGCGTGCTGTAGAGCAGGGAGGCAAGAGAGGAGCAGGAAGGTTCAGGGTGGCAGGGTGGTTCGGAGAAGGACTCAGAGTGCCCAGAGTGCTGTAGAGCGTCTGGCAGAAGGACTCAGGCGTGGAGCTAATAATAGGCATGTTCACAGTGCATGTGCAAGGAACTGGTAGGGTGTTACAAGCACTGTTTCTTCCCAGAGAGCTGCCAGGGTCAGGGCATACCAGGCAGAGTCGAGGAGTGCAAGAATGCCTTGATTCTGTATGCACGTGCGCAGAGGGGCACAGGGGCACGGGAGCACAGGGGCACAGGGGCACGGGGGCATGGGGGCATGGGGGCACGGGGGCATGGGGGCACAGGGGCACAGGGGCACGGGGGCACGGGGGCACGGGGGCATGGGGGCATGGGGGCACAGGGGCACGGGGGCACAGGGGCACATGGGCACATGGGCACGGGGGCACAGGGGCACAGGGGCACGGGGGCACACAGGGGCACATGGGCACGGGAGCAGAGGGGCACGGGGGAATGGGCGCATGCGTATGCAGGCATGGCACACATGAGCCCGGGGACATAGACACACATGAGCACATACATACACACATGAACACACACACATGAATGCATGCGCACATGCCTCTATGAGAAAGCTAGGTTATTCATCAATCCTACTGGTTTGAATAAACCAAT